GCCATGGCTACTTTCTTCACCCCTCGCCCCAGGCATTCCTCCTCTGTCTCTTTCTTTCCATATCAGCCACAGCTGCTGCCCCCCCCCCACACACATGCTGTTATCTCTGTTCTCTCTCTCTCTGAAAAAGTGAGCAAGTGACTCAGGAAAGCTCATCCCCGACCACAAATGTTGTTAGTCTTTAAAGTGCTCCTGGTCTCTTACACTGTTTTACTTCTCTCTCTTTGTCTCTGTTCTTCTTTTAACGTCACCCGTGCTGTCAGTCTTTCCTCCCTCCCTCTGTGCCGTCACTACTCCTCCTCCCCCCGCTGCCCATCTGCCTGCCTCTGTTGCATTCCGGGACTCATGGGGGGGGTGGCTCCCCACCTGCTTGCCTTCCCAGGAAGCTGCTTCAGCTCTTGCCACGGAGGGCGGACGGGCACTGCTTCCCCCGTCCAACCTGCTGCCACCTTCCCTGGGACTGGGACTCCTCTGTCTGGCTGCTGCCACATCAGGACTTGGCGGCTCCCCCTGATCTCTCCCAGGTCCCACCTCTGCCCAGCCATCTTTTCCCTCCAGCCACCATTAGGAGAGATGATCATTCCTCCCCTCGGCAACGTTGCTGCATTTTTAAAATTTTTTAGTGTTCCCCCCCCCCCCTCGCCTTTTTTCTTTTTTTCAGTTTGGTGTGAGAACCAGTTTGGTGTAGTGGTTAAGTGCGCAGACTCTAATCTAGGAGAACTGTGTTTGATTCCCCCACTCCTCCTCCACATGCAGCTGCTGATGTGGTTGTGGGTCAGTCATAAGTCCTTTCAGAACGGTTCTCTCAAGGACAATCCTTGAGAGAGTTCTCTCACCCCCACCCACCTCACAGGGTGTCTTCTGTTGTGGGGAAGGGGAGTTTGTAAGCCGCTCTGAGACTCCTCCTTCGGGTAGTGAAGGGCCATGGGGGGTATAGATCCAGTCTCTTCCCTTTCTCCTCCTTTCAGATTTTTCTGCAGCCCTGGTAGTCCGCAGAGTTTGCAAGGAAGTTTTACTTCTTTGTGAGTGGGCCTGATCCATGGATTTAATTATCCACAGATTTGGCTATTAGTATATAGATTGTCTATGATACCATAATATAGAAAGATCAGCATTGGCATTTTCGTAGGTTCTGTACTTCATATTACAGCAAGTTGTAAAAGGTGTCTTGCTTCTTTAGAGAAGTTTTCTTTCACGATCTTTTCTGTCCCCATCTTCCACCCTGTGTTTGCCATGTAGTTCATTCCTGCCCTTCTCCCTTGGGATGGTGAGCAGGTGTTGCCCAGCACACTGGTGCTGACTCAGTCTGTTTGGGAGCTACCTGTGGCTCTTTTGAGCACCATTCCCCCAAGTCCTGTTTGCCGTCGCTCCGTGGGGCTTGTGGTTGGCAGAGTGGTCTCCGTGCTGAAACAGCTGTTGCTGGAGGACAGGGAAGCTGCAAGCCCCGTGCCAGGCATGGGAATACAGGGCCCAGCAACCTCGTCCCCTTCTCCTCAGCCTCTGTGTTCTCATTCCAGAACCCAGGAAGCTGCCAGGAAGAGAGCAAGCTGGCCGCAGAGGAGAGAGAGAGAGACAGAGAGTAAAACCACACCGCCACGCAAGGGTTAGGGTGGAGCCAGCGTGCTCTCCTCTGGGTGCCTTGGCAGCCTTCCTCTTTCCTGGGGACAGCATGAGATGGCTGAGAGAGAGGCAGAGGGCGTGCAGGCTCCCCCCTGCTCCGCTTGTGAAGAGAGGTTTCCCAACGCTTCTGGCCAGCTCACAGCAGGCTCCTGCGGTGGGAAGCCTTGAATAGCCGTTGCTTTTTCCTCCGTCGTGAGGCAGAAGGCCTTGGCTACTCATTCTCCCCTGAGCGGCAGCCCTCGTGCCGAGGAATGGGAAGTCAGCGTGCCCAGGTGGCTTCCCACGGCAGAAGCCTGCTCTGAGTCCACCTGCAGCGTTGGCTTGGTCCAGCCGCAGCAAGCTCCTGCGGTGGGAAGCCCGTGTGCCCTCTGCTCCCATCTCTGCCTTCTCCCTCCCTCCCTCCCAGGCATGAGGCAGAGCAAGCTCCTGGCCAGACCCAACTGAGTGGGCTCTGCAAAGAAAAGCGTCCTTCCCTTGCAGAGCCCGCACGTGGTAGCTGTTTTGGTTGATGGTGTAATTATGAATGTGGCTGTCGGCGAGCTGTGCTGCAGGTACCTCTGGTGCAGCATATCCTGGGGACAGGGGACAGCACTGTTCTGAACCCCATTGAGAAATAGCCTATCAGAGGTGTTCATTCTGAAATGTTCTTCATCTGCTCCCTTCTAGTGGGAAAGCGAGAGCGCCAGCCCTTCAGGGGACATGCTCCCAAAACACCCTGAACCCCGAACGTCGGAAGCAGCATCAGTAAGTCCCAAAGTCCGGGTGCGAGAGCAGCTGCCCAGTCAAGATTCTGATATCCCTCAGAGCCCGTTTCTGGGGGGAGACCAGCCTTCCGGGCCCTCCTCTGAGCAGGTGGCAGCGGCAGTTGAGGACATGAGACGTTTCGCGGAAGAGTTCGGAGTGGACCTGGCAACCGTGACTCAAGCTTTTCTGAAAACCAGCGGGGATGTCACAGCTGTGGCCCGCTGTCTGCAGACTGGCCCGCACTCAGAGGGCTGCCCGCCTCTTTGGACCAGGCAGGATGACTCAGACTTGCTGACAGGTGATGATTACCTCAGAAGCAAGCTCATCGCCAAATATGGAGAAGAGAGCGTGAACAGACGAGTGGCGTTCAGGAAGAGCTAGCTTGTAGGAAGTGTGTTTTGTGGGATATGAAACTCTCCTTTCTGGGAGGCAGTGGGCAATTTTGGGTAATGGCGGTTTGCCACGCCAGGTGCCAAGGCCAAGAACTTGCATCTTAATCTCTGTCTTGACTGAAATGACGGTTGGGGCAAGTGAGGCTGCCGTTATGCTGACTGCATGGAACGCTACCCCTCTGCCCCCTTCAGGTTACTTCTTCTTCTAATCATGATGGCAGCTGCTTACTTGTCTTTGAGCAGCCAATAAAACTGTCGGAATCTGTCCTCTTTTCACAACATGGAAGCGCAGCTGTGTTTCAGTCTCTGCTGGCAACTGCATCTTGTGCCTTTCTTCGCAGTGTGAGCAGGGCCTTTACCGGCTACCTGCCAAAGAACTTGGAATCCGCCGTTTCTCATCCAGTCAACTCAGCGGTCAGCAGATTGTGGCTGGCTGAATTCCTGATGAGCACAGAGTTTAAAGCACCAGCACAGTTTGCTGCCCACACTGGGGA